TTCTTCCTAGATGCCAACTTTGATGCTTCATATCTTGCTCATTCCTGAACGGATTTTGTTCAAATTTTCAGAGGTTTTAGACTTTTTAAAACCCTTTTAGAATACTGTTTCACAATTCGAAAATTACCTTCTATTAACGAGTCATTGCCCTTTGATTGAATTTTTCTTACCTCCGATTTCCAGACAAAGGCTCAGAAAAGATAATAATTGGAGCACAAAACTCTTTTAAATCGAGGAGAGGAAGCATTGAAGTTGTGCACATCGGTTTTTGTTTTTTGATTTTTGCATTAAAAATGGTGCTAGAGAGGGGTCAAAAGTTAGACCGCGGAAAACAGCAAAAAATTCGACATATTTTCTTTTATATCTTAAAAACTAAAAATATTTTGTTAAGACATGTAGAACAAAAGTTGTGCATAATTGCATGGGCTTTCATGTAATACTATTCAAAAGGGGCTGGCCCCTATAATTAGGGCTCTGTGGAACTTGAAAGTTTTTGCTTTATAACTCAAAAACGGTAAATATTTCGATCTAGATCTTACGAACAAAATTGTTCTTTTACACCTTTCTGATCTGATGAAAATGCTGTTTTGTTCGATTATGCCGGGAATATTGCGTAATACGCGGTAGAAAGCAGGCAAGGTAAACAGGTAGCGTTTTTCCGATTACATTCACCTTGTTTGTTTACAATTATATAACACGCCTCCCTCGATAGCGCGGGGCAAAGTCGGTCACCGGGAATCAATCGGCAGGCAATCCAGCGACCCACAGTTATACACAATTAAAAACACAGAATGGTTAAATTCATTTTTTTTTAATATATAAAATTGTACCTTAATACTTGCCGTAAGTAATAAATATTTTACAATGCTGTATCATATCTCTTTTTTTTAATTAGGTTTTAAACGTGTTCTTTGGCTCCCGTTCAGAGTATTCAATGGCATAATTTTCCTTTTATTAATCAAGATCTTTCCAAGAGAAAGAGTTTTAGAAAAAAGCACGAGTATCTTTTCTTCGTTAAAATATGAACACAAACAATATGAACGAAAACGATACACGCCCGGATCTCATAAAAAGAACTTTTAAAGAGTCAAATAATACAAAAATTATTTACTGCGCAATTCTCACATTCACCTGGAACCCAGATTTTAAGTGTGTTGACCATTGCGTAATCTTACGATTACACGTGTCCAAGAAAATCTAAAGCGACACGCCGCGGCGAACCATTGACCCCGCAGTCATAGGCAAAATAATTGGTGTATTAAAACCATTTTACAATTAATGGAAAATTATTATTGTCGGATATTTGAGATTAATATGTTGGCTTATCTTCGTTTTAAATTTGATCGTGATACATGTTTATCTTAGACAGCTACCTTGGTTTTGTGTTTGTTTACAATTACGCGACCAACCATTCCTTTCATCGCTTGTTGACATTAATTTACACAGCGTGGTCGAATGTTAAATCTTATTTTACAAACTTACGGAAAACATTATTTTCTGTAAGTAAATCGAATCTTTCAAAAATATTTTAAAATATCTTAGGTTTGACTTTAGAACAAAATGCTGGGGTATTTATTTTACATGTACATTAATCAGTCTTCATTTTTTATAGTTCATTAGCTCCATGTGTAATTTTACTTTTTGTTTTGACGATTCATAGCATAAGGACTGGCGATCTGCGGTTACTTTACTTCAACCAATATTGATTTAAATGCACAAGCTTAATTTGCACTTTTTACACACAAATAAATCTGTTTTCAACACAAATTTTCCCAAACACATTTTTGTTCATCAGAGATTTTTATCATGGCTATTTCAGTTTTAAATTTTAAAGAAAATCTTCCGAATCATAAGGATCTATTCAGAATTTTACTCAATGAAATGGACTAAACATCGATAAGTATCTCCGGCACGTTGAAACTTCATAAGTGACTTCTGTGCTGTACAATGCCTATTTATATTACACGTTGAATAGTCAAGTTGAAAAAATAATTCAAGATTTTAAAGCAATGAATTTTATTTGTTTTATAATTTATTCAAAACCTGTAAATGATTAGTATAGTGTGCTAACATTTTAATTTTGTTCCATGATTTTAAAAATATCAGTAGCAGGTTATACAAAGTACATGTAAGTAGTAATAAACCCGCATCGTATGTACGGAATCGAAAATTTAAGAACTTATATATAACAATCTGCAGCTACTGAATATCACAAACTTATCATGTAATTACACACTTTTATGACCTAATTTAAACTGTTAAAATCATAACCGGCACCATAGTTAAACATTAATTGTCTTATAATCGGCACTTAGGGCCTTTGAGCAGGGAGGGATCATTTTTGTGCCAGCACCTAAAGCGACACAGAACCTTGTTTTATACGGTCTCATCGGAAGGACAGGTCCCCATGTCCCACAGTGGGATTCGAACCACGACGTAAGGATCAACTCCTTACTTCGCTACTATAGAACAGACGCTCTAATCACTGCGCTATGCGGGCGACCTTGGGGGATATAAAATGAAAACAATGAAGAAAACGGTTAGTAAAAAATAAGAAGGGGTCGTTTTAAAGTATTATTCTTACGAACTTCAGGGCAAGAATGAGAAACCATATTTATGAAAGCTTCCTGATATAAAAAAGATTACTTTTTTTCAAATAATGACTAGAGTTTTCCCTTGCAAAGTGATTGTGTATTTTGGGGGGTAGTGTGGATGGAATGGGAATTAAACGGTCTGTTTAACTGTCCATATGTCTGTCTGCCCCTTAAAGTTTTTCCCAGAAGATCAGGCTAAAGCATAAAGAAACCAGAAGCTTGTACTCGATACAAAGATTTCAAGTGATCCTAGGATGTGTCATTGTATTTATTTATTCAAGGCAATATTACGGCAAATTCAAGGTCACTGGAGAAAGAATTAATGTTTTGTTGCATCATTTATATGTAATCGAGAATATCTGTATGCTCATACTTGATACAGAGATTGCTTTTGACAAAAAGGTTTTTTTTTTACGATTTTGACTCAGAAAACAGTATTTTTTTCATTCTGACTATATTTGTTTAATTAAGTCCATACTTGATACAAATTGCTTATAGTCCGCCGGTTTTCACATGACTTAAAATAAGGTCATTTTAACAAATTTAGGGCCAATGACAGAAAAGTTGTAAAACTCCTGTCAGGGTTATGAATTTCTAAAAGTTGTTTCAGATTGAGGGTTTGTCTTGACAAAGAGCCAAGGTTATTCTGTTAAAATCAAGGTCACTGACAGAAGAAATCTTTTCTTTTCCACGCTATGAACTAGTAAGTGAAAATCATTGGAGGCTCTTTCTTGAAACATAGATTACTTATGATTGGAGGTCGTGTCATGACCCTGATCAAAGGTCTTTCTGGCAAATCAAGGTCACTGACAGAGAAAAAAATATTTAAGCATAACTTTGCAATTAAGATTCACTGGAGGCTCATGCTGAGAAGAAAGGTTGTTCACATTAGAAAGTGCAGTAACCTTGACCCAAGGTCGGTACTTCCTGTCCACAACTCCAACGGAAGACCTACTCGTTGCTTTGCAATGAGCTCGGCTCTAGTTTTTGTTTATCTTTATTTGGAGCTCTTCTTCTATTAAGGGGATAGAAATAGTCTAAATATGACCACGACCACCCAACCCCTTTAAGTAACCAAACTAAGCAATTGCAAAGTTCATAGTTATAATTAGCAATGGTGCCAGACTGCCAGCCTCTTTCAAAATTGTGAATGCCATAACATCTACCTTAAAACCTGGGCCAAATTCTATCATTTGACAGTTGTTGCATGATTCTCAGGTGACCTATAAGGCCCATGGACCTCTTGTTTTTAATTAAAAAAACAACTGTTAAGTGACTTATTGAAAATCTTTACTGTCTGTTTTTTTTTTATCAGATACAAAATTTCAGTCATGATTTAGTCGACAGATCACCTTATATTTTAAGGTAACAGAGAATACACATACTTTGACGTCATTCGTGTGCCAGAACGTTCCCCAATGTCTTCTTAACAAACAGTCCTCTACTTCCTACATTCAATAACTAATTTTGGTATAGAGGATAAACTATTCATTGAATCTCATAGTATTTAAAAACAGCTTCTCTATTTGAATCTAGTGTGTAATGCCACTTCTGTGCTCTTTTTTTCTTCTCTGATGTATATAAACCATATCCAAAGCAATTTTTTAGATTTCCAAGCGCCAGTTGCGGGTTTGACGATGTCATTTTCATCAAACTCAATTCCGACAACACTTTGAAAATCATGACACCAATTGTCTGTTTTAAAAGCTACTTATATGAAAATTTGAAATGTTATTGATAATTTGATTCTGATTTCACTGATTTAAATTTGAGTACAATATTTTACATAGTACCATGTAATAAAAGCAAATGTAATAGTTATGTGCGTAAATTATTCTGTATTTTGTTTGTGTGACGACAGACCATATCGGCCTTCATATAAATCGTCCCCATATAATAAATATGAAAGATATATATTTAAGAATTCACAATTTTAAAGAACATGGAATATATCATGTCTTTGGTTAGTATTGGTTGCATGTTAATAAAGTTATAAACATTGTTTACGACTTTTTTGGACAACCCTCCTATCTAGGTCAAGTTCTGCTTTGAGCATGATTGTGCTATTTTTGACAGAGTTATGGCTCTTTGACTCAGAAAAATTCAAATTATTTGTAGATTCTGTTCATTTTCTTTGCAAAGGTCCGCATACAGAAATAAATTTATCAGTTGAATATCAAGTCAAGTTCTGTTTTGGGTACGATATCTCACCATTTTTGACAGAGTTATGCCTTTTTGGACTTAAAAAAAATTCTAATGTGGGGGAGGAGGGCATATTAAGTGTTTTACAAACATCTCTTGTTCATTTAGAAATATACAGGACTTGCTTTTTGGCAAGTGATAAATTATGTTTAAGACCAATATTTAGATTATTAATTTTTATCTATATCTTTCCTTTATTAAAAGATCCTCCAACTGTGTCCAGTTTGACAAATCAAGACATTATAGAAGGAGATGACCTATCTGTCACATGTTCTGTCACCAATGGAAATCCTTCCCAAGCTACTGTCTACTGGACCAAGACAGATGACTCTGGATTTAGACAGAATGGTGCTGAACTACGGATACAGAGAATACAGAGAGGCAGTGCTGGTACCTACACGTGTACAGCACAAAACAGTTATAGCATTGGAGGCAAGGGATCAAACAGTCAGTCCATGACTGTCAATGTGTTGTGTAAGTTACTTTGTACCATTAGCAAGTGCATGCATTTGAGTAGTAGAGTTGTGTTCTATCTTGGTATACACTCTAGCTAATTTAAAACATGTTCCAAGTATAGCCTCATATAATTGTGTTCCGATTCTACTATTTGTTTTAGCTCACCTGAACAGTCAATCTTTCTTTGAATAGGAAATGATTTTAAAGATATTGAAAATTCATGTATAATTTACGAGAGCTGTTAAAAAATCATTGAGACTTTGTGTATACTTTTCTTTGTAAGGAAGTCTTTTGGTGAAAATTTGCATTTACCTTTGAGAAATATTAACGAAAGCCAAGTGAGCTCATTTTCGTAGGTTAAAAAAAAAAAAAATGTTTCGCATTGTAACGCAAAACTTTTGCGAATAAACGCGTAACTTTCTTGATATAACGCAAAACTTTTGCCAATAAATGCATAAATTTCACGTTATAATGCGAAACATTTGCATAATAACGTGAAACTTTTGCAAATAAATGCGTAACTTTCGCGTTAAAACGCGAAATTTTCGCAATATTGCGCCTAAATTTCGCGTTATAACGCGAAACTTAATGCCACATTTTCGCGTTATAACGCGAAACTTTTGCAATATAACGCGAAACTTTTGCCATATAACGCATAACTTTTGAGTTTAACGCAAAACATTCGCGAATAAATGCGTAACTTTAGCGTTATAACGCAAAACTTTTGCGATATAATGCGTAACTTTCGCGTTATAATGCGAACTTTGAGAATAAACGTGAAACTTGCACGATATAAAGCAAATCGTTTGCGATATAACGCGTAACTTTTGCGTTATAATGCGGAACTTTCGAGAATAAACACGAAATTCGCGCAATAAAATGAGAAATTTTCGCGATATAACGCATAATTTTCGCGTTATAACTCGAAACTTTAGCGAAAGAACACGTAATTATCGCTTTATAACATGAAACTTTTGCGATATATCTTGTTACTTTCGCGTTATTACCGGAAACCTTTTGCGATATTACGCATTACTTTCGCGTTATAACTCGAAACTCAATGCTATACTTTTGCGTTATAATGCAAAACTTTTGCAATATAACCCGTAACTTTTGCATTACAATGCGAAACTTTCGAGAATAAGCACGAAATTTACGCGATAAAAAGCAAAATTTTCGCGTTATAACGCATAATTTACACGTAATAACGCGAAACTTTGGCAAAAAAACGCATATTTTTCGTGATTTAACGTGAAACTTTTGCGATTTAACACGTTACTTTCGCGTTATTACGGGAAACCTTTTGCGATATTACGTGTAACTTTCGCATTATAACTCGAAACTCAACGCCAAACTTTCACGTTATACCGCAAAACTTTTTCAATATAATGCATAACTTTCGTGTTATAGTGCGAAACTTTCGAGAATAAACTCAAAATTTTCGCAATATAACACGAAATTTTAGCGATTTAGCTCAAAACTGTCGCGTTATAATGCGAAACTTTTGTAATATAACGCATACTTTTCGCATTAGAACGCGAAACTTTAGCAAATGGACGCGTAATTTTCACTTTATAACGCGAAACTTTTGCGATGTAACGCATAATCTTCACGAAATAACGCGAAATTTTGGCAAATAAACGCGTAACTTTCGCGATATAACGTGAAACTTTTGCGAATTAACATGTTACTTCAGCGTTATAACAGGAAACCTTTTGCGATATTACACGTAACTTTCACATTATAACTCGAAACTCAACGCCAAACTTTTCGCGATATAATGCGTAACTTTTGCATTATAACGCAAACTTTTGAGATATAACGCATAACTTTGGTTAATAAACGTGTAACTTTCGCAAAGCTTTTGCGATATAACGCATATTTTTCACGTTATAACGCAGAACTTTTGCTGTTTAACCAGACCTTTGCTTAAGTCTCAACTTCCTTTTGATTTTGACCTTAAGTTTATTTATTACAATGATAAGCAAAAGGCTATTTTGATCTTGAACTATCACAAGATAAATAGTAAGCTTTCTTGCTATTGAATCCATTGACGATTCAAAGTGTACAAACTCTGCTGTACACCATCATAGTTTTTATTTATGGCTAGTCCACAAACTTCTCAATAACCCAATATATATATATTGGAGAAAATTTAGAGACCCCTCCTCCTCAATAAATTTTTAATTAACAATATCCAATTATAATTGTTATTTGAACAGCATCATATGACCTGTTAAGCTCATGAAATTATACATTGTTCATTCACCTTTACGTTATGTATAAAATTATACATTGTTCATTCACCTTTACGTTATGTATAATTTTTTGTCTAAAATGATTGATTGCTTAATTAACTAGTGGTGCAGTTGTAGTAAATGTTACAGATCAAAAAAAGCTTGAAAAAATTGTCAAATAGAGATTTTCTTTAAAAAATAATCAGTATAAAGAATTAAATTAAAGGAGTTTTCCACTTAAGTATAGTAGCTTGGTCCCTTACCCCACCCCCACCCCCCTTATTTTACAGAATAAACTTGAGGATATTGTATAATTTTTATTTTCATGGTGTATAACAGTATTTCTGATTAAAAATTTGTACAATCATTATTAATGACTTTGAATATCAAGAAATAAAAACCAATTTTCAACACCTACCGCACATACAAATTCCGGAACATTTTCTTTCGAACAGAGTACGGGTTCTCTGTTACATACATATGGGCGGAGACATTTAAATTAGGTACTATATAAAGGAAGACATGGTGAGCGTAAGCGTTAGATAAGAAATAATTGGAAATTAAACGAAACTTACCTGGAAGTTGAAGTTTGATTGTAATTCTACAAAATCACTGGAAAGGAATGGAGGAATCACATGAGATAGCGCTAGCCTATCTGGCCTCAGTATTTAAATCCAATTAATAGCCGAAGATGTAAAAACACAAAGGGTAGGGAAAAAAAACAACTTTTACAGGGTCGGGCATGTGATTCCTCCATTCCTTTCCAGTGATTTCATAGAATTACAATCAAACTTCAACTTCCAGGTAAGTTTCGTTTAATTTCCAATTCTACTTCATCACTGTCCAGTTCATTACAGAACCACATGAGATTTTAAAGCTCTGAGGCTATTAATGTAATAAAAACATTGAATGCAATTCAATTTATTGCTACAATGTAATCTACTTATATAAGTATATATACATCACTGTATTTCAAAACATGACATTTATTTATCAATGCACTTATATATTGTTTGTCCTAAAGACATGTTCTCCGCATTATAGTTTTTGTTGTAAAATTTGGCGAAAGTTTTTTCCCTTAGCCCAGCCCACTTGTGCCAGTATGGTGTCTATTGGACATCCCATTGAAGCTGCGCAAGATGTCGACGCAGCACGTGTACTATGCGCAGTGTAAACATTAACATCCACACCACTTTTGCTAAGCACCGATTTTATCCAGCGAGCACTAGTGTCACATGATACTGACGCATGGGGCTTTTGATAGCTAATTAATAATGAATCAGTGTTCCTTATTTCTTTTGTCATGTCAATGTATTTTCTCAAATGTTGGACTATACACAAATTTCTGTCCTCATAAGCCGGTAATACGAGTTTATTCAAATGAAACGCAGGCCTGCTTTGTTTAAGTAAAGAATCAACTCTAAATTCTACATAAGAATCCGTAAATTTTAAATTTTCCACTGATAACGCTTTAAGGGTTTGTACCCTTTGTCCAGATAATAAAGCTAAAAGCATTACTGTCTTTAGCGTTAACAACTTCTAACACATATCATCAAAATTAATTGTTTTCATCCAGTTGAACACTACTGAAACATCCCAGATTTCTGAATATCTTGGAAAAGTAGGTCTCTTATTAAAAACACCCTTGAGAAATCTTTTAATTAAGGGATGCTGTCCCACTGGATAATGCACGGCATCAACAAGAGTAACTACTGACGATAAAGCACTTCTCGCTGTGTTTATCCCAGAATAGCCAATGCCACTCTCGTATAAAAAAGTTAAGAATTCCAAAACTTCCTTCACAGGTGTTGAAAAGGGATTAACTTCCCGTCCACTACAGAATGTCTCCCACTTACGGAGGTAACACTCGTATTGTTTAGTTGTTTTTTCCCTCCATGAAGACAACAAAATGTCTTTAGTTTGCTCCGATAAGTCTTTACTCTGGATTGATCTCCTGATAACAGACATATTAGTAAGTTCAACTTTTCCCATATTTTGTGTATCTGCGTTGTCCCCGGTATGCCCAACAGAGTTTTCCTCCTGTGAACAAAGATTGGATTTTCTATGAGCATTTTCATTGCAGTTGCATAATATGCTTGTGTTGGCCAATCTGGCATTATTAAAATACCTGTGGCTTCATCTAACACTATTTTCTGTAAAACCGAAGGTATCAAACTAAAAGGTGGAAAACAGTATAATTTCATGTCAGCCCAAGAAATAGAAAAAACATCAATTGCAAAAGATTCAGGCTCTGGTTTCCACGACACAAATTTTTCTAATTGACAATTATTGCGTGTAGCAAACAAATCAATATCTGGATTAAAATTCAATTTATCACAAGCTGATTGATAAACTTGTTTATTAAGCATCCATTCATATTCCTTTTTAAAATGTCTACTCTCAAAATCTGCCTTGCAGTTGATTTTCCCGGAATATGAGCAGCTGTAAGCCAAATATTTTTCTCATATGCCCAAGTCCAAATTTTTCGGACCATTTCATTGCACTCTAAAGAACGACTACCTCCTTGTTCTCTAATATATGCTACAGCAGTTGTATTGTCAATTAAAAGCTTTATGTGCATATCTTTCTTATCATTACATATTGATTGCAATGCAAAATAAACAGCTTGAAGTTCTAAAACATTTTTTCAAAATTTACTTCCGATCGCGTTTTTTTGGGGGAAATTTGTATTTTTTAAACGGAAATTTGTCGCAAAAAATTCTCGAGAACGACAATAGATATGAAACTGAAACTTACAATGGGAGATAATCAAGAAAAGATGAAAATAGGGTTGGGTCACTAAAAAAATCTTCTTCTCAAGAACCACTGAACCAGGAAAGCTGAAACTTATGTGGAGGCATCCTTGGGTAGTGTAGATATTAAATTGTTAAAATCATGATCCCCAGGGGTAGGGCGGGGCCACATGAGGGAATCCAAGTTTTACATAGAAATGTATAAAACAAATCTTTAAAAATCTTCTTCTCAAGAACCACTGGGCCAGGAAAGCTGAAACTTATGTGGAGGCATCTTTGGGTAGTGTAGATATTAAATCATTAAAATCATGACCCTGTGGGTAGGACGGGGCCACAATAGGGAATCCAAGATTAACGTAGAAATATATAGGACAAATCTTTAAAAATCTTCTTCTCAAGAACCACTGGGCCAGGAAACCTGAAAGTTATATTGAAGCATCCTTGGGTAGTGTAGATGTTAAATTCTTAAAATCATGAAAGGGAAGGGGGTAGTGGGGCATGATAGGTATAGCAAGAGGGGGAATCTGATAAGAACTGCAACACCCAAGTTACTCAGGTGACCGATGTGGCCCATGGGCCTCTTGTTTATTACCTCATCTTTGAGAGTGTCATGTTATTTAACGTCAGTAACACACTATAACGATGCCAATCTATCTGTCAATTTAAAAATCATTTAAAAAATCAGTTATTTAAAATTATAATAGAATTTTTTGACCCATAATTCTGAATTTTGTCTAGTTTAATTAATTAAGTGACAAATGTTGCTTAAAAAGAGTGAATATGCTTCATTTTACTTTGATGCGCGAAATATTGCGCAATGGAAACTACAGTCAGCCCCCTTAACTAGGGTCTTTCTTATGATCATCAAAAACTTGAATGCCAGTTGTCCAGATTCAAGACAGATTTAGAGCTACAAACCTTTACAGATGTTAATATACTAACATTATGTTTGTTCATAGTAGATAATTTCAAATGAAAGTTACACATGTAATTTTAAATTGTATGATTTGACAGTTACTATTGATTTGCTTAACTTCATTTTGTTATAAATATGATATTTTCTGTATGTAAACAAAAACAAGACATGGGCCTTGTTTACTTGATGAAGAACTTTTAAGTTCTTTATCTTGCTCGTTAATCAACAAATGATGTTCAAAGTTTTGCTAATCAATAGATGATGCCTTAAGTAGGAATTGTAAACATTAAAATTGGGGTTTAAAAAATTAGTTGAAATTGTGTCAAGGTCCCTTTAACCTGAGAGAGGGAGTTTACATATGTTACTCATGTTACTATAATAATGATTTTTTCAGTGACCTGACAGGTGTCGATACCGCCCTTAATGCCAGAAATTGAAAACAACCAATAATTCCAACATTTTGAGCTCACCTGAGCCAAAGGCTCAAGTGAGCTTTTCTGATCACAATTTGTCCGTTGTCTGTCGTCTTTGTCATTGTTGTTGTTGTAAACTTCTCACATTTTTGACTTCTTCTCAAGAACCTTTGGGCCATTTTCAACCAAACTTGCCACACAGCATCCTTGGGTGTAGGGGGATTCAGGTTTGTTCAAATGAAGGGCCACGCCCTCATTCAAGGGGAGATAATTGGGAATTAATGAAAATTTGGTGGTATGTTTTAAAAATCTCCTTCTCAAGAACCACTGTGCTTGGAAAGATGAAACCATGGGGAAACATCCTCAGGTAGTGTAGATTCAAGTTTGTTCAAATCATGACCCTCGGGGGTAGGGCGGGGCCACAATGGCCGACCAAAGTTTTACATAGAAATATATAGGAAAATTCTTTTAAAATCTTCTCAAGAATGACAGAGCCATAATTGATTATATTTATATGGAAGCATCCTCAGGTAGTGTAGATTCCAGTTTGTTCAAATCATGACCTCCGGGGATAGGGCGGGGCCAAAATGGCCAATCAAAGTTTTACTTAGACATATATTTGAAAATTCTTTAAAAATCATCTTATCAAGAATAGCAAGCCAGGATTGGTCATGGTGCTACTTTTGGATTTAAACTATTCAATGATAAACCAATGTTCTACTTTTTCCTAGCCACAGTGCTCAGGTGAGCGATGTGGCCCATGGGCCTCTTGTTTTCTTGCAGATGGTTCAGTTTTTGTAGGGACTGGGTTCCTCAAGTTTTTCCTGTTTTCCTCCAATTTTGTGCTGCTTTTTTTCTTCTCACTCATGTAACTGGACCATTTCTTCACTTCTTCTATTGCCCTACAGTGGTTAATGTTGTTTGCCTTGTTAATTTTCTCACATATTGCCTCCTATGCTCTTTTCTTTGATGAATGATTATAAAGACAGAAAAATTTTGAAAAGAAAAAGGCTGTGTTTCTCCATCTCATCAAGCAGTATTTTGATTTCAATCTGAGAAAAAATTACAGCTCCTCTTTTGATTCATCCTGCAATTTGTTTTCTTGTGAAACCAGAAATTGTCAACAAATAAGGGCTCCACAAATTAAATTGGCATGCTTGAATGATCAAATGGCACATTTTGATTTTAAGTAGAATTACAGTTACAGTACATGTATTTCGTCAAATTTAAATGATTAATAATTTTTGAATATTTTCATTATTATAAAATAATGTTATGCATTATGTAGTAAAAAATGACAACTCTCTGATTCCTGACAAGGTTTTAAAGCTTTGAGTATTTCTATGTCATGATGATCTAAGACATCATAGCTTAGGATAATCATAAGATAGTTTTGAAAAACACCTCAAGATAATCTTACAATGATCCGAAGATTTCCCTATGAAATGTCTTAGGAAATTTCTTATGAACAATCTTAGGAAAGAACTATATACGGTTTATTGCATATATTTGCCCTCACAAAAGTCAAATTTTGAAAACTTCCTGAAATGTGCTGAATTCAATAAATTGTTTGAGGAATATAAATTAACAGAACATATTATAGTTTCAAAGTAGTTTCTTCACAATTTATGTTATTATGACGTCACAAACTAGTCCGACTTTATATCATTTCTTAGAAAGAGGTCAAAATTTTAACAATTTTAGCTTTAAAATTTATAGAGCGCAAGTTTGCTCAGGAACAATATTTACATATTTCATTGATTTTACCATTCTACACATTATATCAAAATATCAAACCTAAACAAACATGCGCTTTGTGACTTTTACTCAAAATATCGACGTAATATATACATTCTTCTGTAAAATTCATAAAAAACTGAAATTTACGTCATGTTTGTGACGTCATTACGTACATATGGCGTCATTACTTATGAAAATATTCAGTGCTTTGAAGTCAGCAAATACTCCCCTGTTTAAGAACTTAATTAAATATATTTCCATCAAAGTTTGATTTAGGGGGCAAATATTGGTTATTACCGAACAAAGTTCTTTTTCTAAACATGCCTTCAGATCTTTATTTCTGATTTTATTTTTTCTTAGTCTACAATGTATCTTTTACAGTGTTTTATTATATTCAAGTAATTGGTTAGAAAATTGGGCACCTTGATTTGATAAGACTTGTAAAAATGTTTCATATCTATTCATTTCAGATCCCCCGATTGTGTCCAGTTTGACAGATAAAGAGATTATAGAAGGAGATGACCTATCTGTCACGTGTTCTGTCACCAATGGAAATCCTTCCAAAACCACTGTCTACTGGACCAAGACAGGTGACTCTGGATTTAGACAGAATGGTGCTGAACTACGGATACAGGGAATACAGAGAGGCAGTGCTGGTACCTACATGTGTATAGCACAAAACAGTTATAGCATTGGAGGCATGGGATCAAGCAGTCAGTCCATGACTGTCAATGTGTTGTGTAAGTGTGCAAAATAAAAGAAATTAACTTGCTGCCTGATATTTAGCTCTTCTGAGCCAAAGGCTCAAAGAGCTAATGCTATGACCATTTGTGCTGTGTGCGGTGTGCATAAACTTTTTAGAATATGGGCCATATAACTAAAGAACACCTTGGCCAATCAGTACCAAATTTGTCACAGGGTATCCTTGGCTCAAGGGCTACCATTTATACTCAAATAAGGGTTGGGACCCTTAAACAAGGGGAGATAATCAGGAAAACAAAACCCAAAATACTGGTTGCTAAAAAATCTTCTTCTCCATAACCAGGCAGATTTTCACCAAACTTACATACAAGGATCAGGATATGTCGAAGATTGAAATTTGCACGGGGAATTACCGTGGGGCAAAGGGCGTGGCCTCAAGGTCACTTCAAAGTTGACCTCAATTTACAATTAATAAAAACGTGTATATTTTGCTTACTATAAGGACTAGGATCATTAAATCTTGTAAGATGATGCATCTTACGACTTTACATCATGTTAACTCAAAAGTAGGTCACGGTGACCTACTTTTTAAATTTTGCAGGGATTTGTTTTCAAATTGATTTGAAGGCATATTTTGGACACTTTAAGGCCTATGATCATCAAACTTTGTCAGTTGATGCATCTTGGGTCCTCGAACAATGTCAACTTAAAATTAGGTCACCGTGACGTACTTTTTGAACTTTATGACTTATCCTTTTAAAAACATTAAATCCCATTATTTCAGACACTGGAAGGTTTAGAATCACCAAATCTTGTACTTTGATGCATTTTGGGACCTTAAAACATATTTATGAAAAAGTAGGTCACTATGAATTTGAATTTTGGCCGACATTTGTTTTCAACGCATATTTTGATTACCTTCAGACCTACGGTCAGTTGATGTATCTTGGGTCTTTGAAAAATGTTCAACCAAAATGTAGACCTACTTTGGACATTTATGGCTATATTTAAGTATGTTAGGTATTTATTGGCTTAGAATCATCAAACTTTGTGAGTGGATGAATATTTGGTTTTCAGAGAGTGACGACCATAAAGTAGGTCATGGTGAACTACTTTTGACATTTTATGGCTTTTTTTAAGTATCTCCGATACTTATTGGCTTAGAATCATCAAACTTTGTGAGTTGATGCATCTTTCGTTTTCGGAGAGTGATGACCAAAAAGTAGGTCATGGTGACTTTTGACATTTTGTGGCTATAATTAAGTATCTCTGGTACTTATTGACCTAAAATCATCAAACTTTGTCAGTTGATGCATCCTGGGTTATTGTAGATAGGTCCGGTGACCTACTTTTGAAATTTTATGGCTATGTTTAAGTATCTCAGGCACGTATTGGCTAAGAATCATCAAACTTTGTCAGTTGAGGCATCATGGGTTTTCAGAGAATGTCGATCAAAAGGTAGGTCATGGTGACCTACTTTTGAATATCTCAGGTACATATTAGCTTAGAATCATCAAACTTTGCCAAGGCACCTTGGGTTTTTGGAGAACGTTGACCAAAAAGTAGGTCACTGTGACCTACTTTTGACATTTTATGGCTATATTTAATTATATCTGGTACTTATTGGCTTGGAATCATCAAACTTTGTCAGTTGAGGCATCTTACAGTTTCATTGAATGTCCACCAAGAAGTAGGTCACGGTGACCTACTTTTGAATATATCAGGTACTTATTGGCTTAGAATCATCAAATTTTTTTCAGTTTAGGCATCTTGGGTCTTTGGATAACGATGACCAAAAGTATGTCACCGTGACCTACTTTTGACATTTGATGGCTATATTTAATCATCTCAGGTACTAATTGGCTTATAAGTGTACCATAAGTCAAAGTAAGTATAAGTAAGAAACAGATTTAGTTATATTACTTATAAGTGAGGATGAGATAATATCAGTGAATATTTCAATTATACCTCACTTATAAGTGAAGATCAGTATGGTATTAGCCAGAATAGGTGTGGACTTTGAGGTAGACATTTTGAAAAAAATATTCAGAGAGAATTTATTTTGGTAACTATGGCAATACCATTTAATGAAGTTTAAAACTGATAAAAAGAATTATGTATCTTAATTAGTGTAATCAACTTATGTGCCAAGTTATATTAAATTCATAACAAAACAAAACCGTAGGAGATATTTTTTCTGATCTTTAATACATGTATATGATGACATAGGTTCCCTGCCATGAAATTTAGGGCCTATGTTTTGTTTTGATTTTTGCTTAATTTGACTTTGGTATGTTCTATGGACTTGATGAATACATTGAGTTTATTCCATGTGTAACCGATCACCAGGAGATGCTAACTCTTCCAAGGCACCTAAATCCATCTCTGGATTGGCCGGAGTCCCCGTCATGTTTTGTTCACAAATTTTATTTGATTTTATGAAACAATAATTTTTCTTCTTTATCTTCTTTTTATTAAAGAAAAAATACAGGACTTGTTTTTTGTCAAGTGATAAATTTTGTTCAAGACCAATAATTAAAAAATCTCTACTTTACAGATCCCCCAACTGTGTCCAGTTTGACAGATAAAGACATTATAGAAGGAGATGACCTATCTGTCACGTGTTCTGTCACCAATGGAAATCCTTCCCAAACCACTATCTACTGGACTAAGACAGGTGACTCTGGATTTAGACAGAATGGTGCTGAACTACGGATACAGAGAATACAGAGAGGCAGTGCCGGTACCTACACCTGTACAGCACAAAACAGTTACAGCATTGGAAGCACGGGATCAAGCAGGCAGTCCATGACTGTCAATGTGCTCTGTAAGTTATTCTTTAGTAGCAATTTCACAAACACATAGTTAAAGAGAAACAGGACCTCAAGCTGAAACAAGAGGCCCAGGGGCCACAGCGCTCACCTGAGCACACCGGCTAGGAAAAAGCACATATCAGATCAGAACTAAAAGTTTACTGAGGTGGGGGGGGGCTTGAATTTTAACCCCCCTGGGGTTCATGATTTGAACAAACTAGAATCTACACTACCTGAGGATGATTCCATATAAATATTCACTAATCATGGCTTTGAATACTTAAAAAGAAGATTTTAAAAGGTTTCTCTATATATCCTTATGTAAAACTTGAGTCAGCCATTTTGGCCCCACCCTCGTCCCGGAGGTCATGATTTGTACAAACTTGAATCTACACTACCTGAGGATAATTTTACATGAATTTCATCTTTCCTGTCTCCATGGTTCTTGAGAAGATTTTTAAAGATTTTCCCTATATATTCCTATGTTAAACTTTGATCGGCCAATTTGGCTGGCCCCACCCTAGCCCTGGGGGTCATGATTTGAACAAATTTGAATCTGCACTACCTGAGGATGATTCCACATGAGTTTCATCTTTCCTGGCCCAGTGGTTCTTGAGAAGAAGATTTATAAAGAGTTTTCCTATATATTCCTATGTTAAACTTGGCTCAGCCAATTTGGCCCCACCCTAGCCCCAGGGGTCATGATTTGAACAAACTTGAATCTACATTATATTAGGATGATTTCACATTAGTTTTTACATGAGTTTCATCTTTCCTGTCTCAATGGTTCTTGAGAAGAAGATTTTTAAAGATTTTTCCTATATATTCCTATGTAAAATTTTGATCGACCATTTTGGCCCCACCCTTGCCCTAGGGGTCATGATTTGAACAAATTTGAATCTACACTACCTGAGGATGATTCCACATTAGTTTCATCTTTCCTGGCACAGTGATTCTTGAGAAGAAGATTTATAAAGAGTTTTCCTATATATTCCTATGTAAAATTTGGGTCGGCCAATTTGGCCCCACCCTAGCCCCAGGGGTCATGATTTGAACAAACTTGAATCTACATTATATTAGGATGATTTCACATTAGTTTTTACATGAGTTTCATCTTTCCTGGCCCAGTGGTTCTTGAGAAGAAAATTTTAAAGATTTTTCCTATATATTCCCATGTAAAATTTGGGTCAGCCATTTTGGCCCAACCCTAGCGCTGGGGATCATGATTTGAACAAACTTGAATCTACACTACCTTAGCATGATTCCACATTAGTTTCATCTTTCCTGGCACAGTGATTCTTGAGAAGAAGATTTTTAAAGAGTTTTCCTATATATTCCTATGTAAAACTTGGGTCGGCCATTTTAGCCCCACCCTAGCCCCAAGGGTCATGATTTGTAAAAATTTGAATCTACACTACCTGAGGATGATTCCACTTGAGTGTCATCTTTCATGGCCCAGTGGTTCTTGAGAAGAAGATTTTTAAAGAGTTATCCTATATATTCCTATGTAAAACTTGGGTCGGCCATTTTGGCCCCACCCTTGCCCCTGGGGTCATGATTTGAACAAACTTGAATCTACACTACCTTTGGATGGTTCCACATTAGTTTCATCTTTCCTGGCCCTGTGGTTCTTGAGAAGAAGATTTTTTAAAATTGCCATTAATTTTTCTCTAATTCATAATTATCTCCCCTTGGAAAAGTGCGTAGCCCTTCATTTGAACAAACTTGAATCCCCTTTACCCAAGGATACTTTGTAGCAAGTTTGGTTGAAATTGGCCCAGTGGTTCTTGAGAAGAAGATGAAAATGTGAAAAGTTTACGACAACGACGACAACAACGACAACAACGACTACAACGATGACAGACAACGGACAAATTTTGATCAGAAAAGCTCACTTGAGCCTTCGGCTCAGGTGAGCTAAAAATTAAACATTTTTACATCCGATTGAAGAGGGGACCTATTATAACACTGAAACTGTCAGTGTGCTCTATAAGTTATCCTGAGTACATGCATTTAAGAAATGAATTGTGTTCTATCTTCCTAAGATTGTTTCAGTAATCGGATATATATATTTCATTGTCAATCAATAATTGACAGGAAGGGAAAAAAAGGAAAAAGAAATGCCACTCCAAAGCGGTTGAATCAAGTCCAAAATTACTCCTTTACTTAACAATCAGAGTCACTCACATTTTTGTCCGTTGTTCGTCGTACGTCATTCGTGGATAATTGTCGTCAGTTGGTCATATAGTTTTGAACAATTTCAGTTTCATCCCTGGAACCGCTGAGCCAAATTCAACCAATTTCATGAATTTTGGCAATAACATCTATGGGTGAAGGGGAACAAAAATTGTGAAATCCATAGATTTAAAATTATGATGAGGAAGAGAGCCTCTTCCAAAATTGTGTATTTATTGTAGAGCTGAAATGAATGTTTGAACTTTCGTGAATGAATAGTTTTTCACAAATCTTCCAATGGAAAATTTGCATTCGAATATTCGGTCACATGTTTAATACCCGTATTTCATGCAATAAATTGTGTAGACCTATCCACTAAGTTTTTGATCACGGTGGAAAAAGAAGCAAACGAAAGTGAATATATGTATAAGGCAGGTTGTATACTTTGTCCACATGGTACTACTGGCCTGATAAAGACACGATGTCAGATTTATTTAATTATCTTCAAGCCAAACATTCATCAACCTCATGTGTCTCCAATTTAATTTAGATTTATGACACTGACCGCCATGATTATTAAATAAAAGATTTAATATATTGTGTGTAGAAAAATACAGCCACGTAGCATCATTTTTATGCGCGCGGATCGATAGATCTGAGGCGTATATTGTTTTTGTCCTGTCTGTTTGTCTGTTTATCTGTTTGTCTGTTTATCTGTTTGTCTGTCTGTCTGTTGTCAACTTTAACCTTCGCCATAATTTTTTAACCATGAACGATAGAGACTTCATATTTGGTTTGTATACTCCACTAATGAAATTCTATCAAATGACATCAAGGTCAATGACCTTGTGACCTTGACTGTGACCTACTGTAAACCAACTTTTATTCGCGTGCGAGAAATTTTCGCGAAATTCGCGAGAGCCTCGTAATCGCGAATATTTCTCGCCGCGAATGGGACCTTACTGTCTCTTTTTCTATTAAAAACATTTCAAAAAAGGCTTGGTCACGAAAATTAATCGTCGCAAACTACTTTACTCCCGGTAAATCGCGAAATAAAGTCGTCGTGAATAAAAGTTGGTTTACAGTATATGCTAAAAATAGCTTTTTCGAACTTTCGCCATGAATTTTGAACCATGAAGAGTAAAGACTTTATATTTGATATGTATACTCAATTAATGAAGCTCTTTCAAATGACATCAAGGCGTATGACCTTGTGACCTTGACTGTGACCTATATGCTAAAAGTAGTTTTTTAGAACTGTTACCATAACTTTTGAACCATGAGAGATAGAGATTTCATTGTTGGTATGCTTCCTTCACTAATTAAAATCTTTTTAATGACACCAAGGTCAATGACCTTGTGACCTTGACTGTGACTTATCTGCTAAAAATATTTTATTTGACTTTGTTGCTGCGGGGCGCATAGTGTTTCACAAACACATCTTGTTGAAAGTGGGGAGGGGGGCCAGTCACATCTTCCCAGGTCAAGAGTTTCTGATCCACTCCGCTCCACATAAACCCTTGACTGAATAGGCTACGTTTGATGGGGTTAGAAATGTGTTCTCTGATTGGCCTCATGCAAGTCTGCATGAACCAATCAAAATCGTTGTTTTATTTAAACTTAAACTAAATTGTAAACAGAAAAAAATACGCCAGTTTTAGTCCCAAGGATAACGATAAAGATAAAGATATCTTTAAATAGCCCAGTTAAAGGTTTGTCTCAGCTTTTTTAGTTGAATTACAGTTAATTCTCGATAAACCGCCACCTTTTGTAATTTAGAAATCATGGTGGTATAACGAATCGGTGATGAAATGAATTTCCCATCTTTAAGGGAACAAGAAGTAGAGTTACCGTTCTTAGAAATGCAATTTAGCGTTTCTATTCTTATTATTACATGTACATGTATATAAAAACATATTTCTAAATTTGAAAATACTTCAAGTAATTTTTTATGTACAATTTCGCTAAAACAAAATGTGCAGTTCTGAAATAAAGACAAGTTCATGTGGATGCATGATATTAAAAAAAAAAATGCTGAGTCGATCGTCGTGATATCTTGCCGATAGTACGTAAAATGAATTCTTGAATAAATTAATTGTTATGGCATCATCGTTAATGAAAAGTTGACATTTATACAGTATAATTTTTTTAAAGCAAACTCTGCAAAGTTTAAAGCAGAGATTATCAAGATAATATCGTTATCGGCGTAATTTAACAATGACCGCTTTCGTGGCAAAGCCATGACTAAATAATTTTTATTAAACAGAAAACAAAATTATAATAACACTTCTCTTAAAATTATTGTTTATTTAATTCTTATTTAATTATTTAATTGCATGTACCTCGTTTGGCTTTGAATGCTTTACAACAGGGATAGTGTCAACCAATTAGCCGTGCTTCACTGACCACATGCACCTGTGGCAGTATAAAGAGATAATTGACACTTAAAAATGGACGTTTGTTTTAAAAACAGGGTGGCGGATGGCGGTATGGGAATTTGGCGTTATAAAGAGAATTTTATATAGCAGGAAAAACGTTCTTGGGAAATCATGGCGGTATTGCGAAAATGGCGATGAATCAAATGGCAATAATTCGAGAATTGACTGTATAATGAATTTATTACCAACTTCAAATATTATCTCGAATTCTCTGTTGAATTTGTTTACTCTGATTGGCTAACAGCAAAGGTCAGTAGAGTTCAAAATGTATAATCTCACTAGATGGCATGAAGGTAAACCCCGTCAAACTTAGTCAATTCGGTCAAGGGTTTATGTGGAGCGGAGCGGATCAGAAACTCTTGACTTGGGAAGATGGGCCAGCCTGTGAAAAAATTTTTTTT